ATGCTACAGTTTCTGGTAGGTTGACTATTTTTCATTTTCAATGACTTTTTCTGCATGTGCATTTGTTGGGAAGCTCAGACGCTTGGGCTGCAATGCTTTCTGTGCGTTATTGGAAACATTCACAAGTATTTTCTAAAGTGCACAAAGGGTGATGGACTCTGAACAACACCATGGACTTAACACCACAGGATTGTCTTCACGTGCAAGGGCTATGGCAAAGGGCCTGTGACTAGCTCCCTGGTGGAGAACATGATTCTGGAGACTGAATGGTGTCCACATTTTCTGACCTTCATATTCAGACACGTGGCCCAGTGCATGTGTGAGAGCTTATGGGAACAATGGGACAGCATATTTGATGTTGGGTGACCAGCTCAGATCTCTGGTTACCATATTTATAGAACTTAATCTTAAGCATCAAATTCTCCACACAGGCTGGTTTACTTATTGCCACCCAAATAGGCCACATTGATTTTATCCTTGGCACATTTACTCGCAAAATCCCTGGAGTTGGATAGCTCTCCCTCATATCCTACTTATCCTCCAGATCCACCTAGCCTACCTCCTCCATCCAAACCAACTGTTCTATATAACTATTTCATAATTCATGCTAAGAATGGCAAACACATGCCCTATAACCACCTATCTACACTCCATATTCCTGTGACACATATGGCTAATAGATATTGGTGCTCTTCCTCTCTGTAGTTGGCAATCCTTGCTTGGAATTTTGTCCTCCTCCTCTTCCTTTTTTGAAACAGGGTCTTGCTATTATAGGCATTGGCCACCACACCTGGCTTGGTATTCTTAACATAAGAATTTAAATGGAGCCAAGCAAAGTGCTTCACACCTCTAATCTCAGTACTGGGGATGGGCAGTAACCTGAGGTAAGAGGATTACAAGGTTGGTAGCTACTGAAAGCTGAGTGGAGTTGGCAAGTGACATGAAACTTAGTTGCTATCTCTCTTCTGTTCACTTCTATTGTCATTTAAAGTTTCAAAGATTATCTGCTATCTCCTCCAGCGGGCCTATTAAGTCCTGGAGAGTAGGGATCAAACCCTCAGTGATCAAAACATTAACAATGGCTGGGCAATATTTACTGAATACCTTCATGTGCCAACCATTTTACGCACATTGTCTAATTAAATCTTCCACACAGTCCTGCGAAGGAGGTATTATCCCCATTTTATAGATGAGGAGCCTGAGTCTTAAAGATGATAAGTAACTTGTCCGGAATGTAGCAGAACCAGAACTCGAGCCTTCAAACCTTTGCTCTTGTCAAATACGGTGCGTTATCTTGTCCTCCTCTGTTTATAATTTGTGCTTAATCAGTATTTGTTGAACAGAGATGTTTTATAAAACAATGAGGTTTTTTCTTCCAGAAGAGTTAATCAGAATTTGTTGAACAGAGACTTTTTATACCATAATGAAGTTTTTTTCAGAAGAGAAAATACCAGAAACAAAATCTCCACAAAGAGTTGGAACATCGTTGAAAGGGGTCTACTTGGCTTTCCCAGTGTCTTTGGCTGAAGGCCGTTCCCAATTCCACAGATAAACAAGCTTTATAAACATGGAAGTACTAAAGGTCAACTCTAAGAGGTGGAGGGGGGTGCATCCTAAGTGAGGAAGTCGCCTGCCAGGAACCCTTGCAGTGTCTCTCCTATCACCAACTCACTGGCACCAACTGGGCCTCAGTTTCCAAATTTGCATAATGATTCATTTGAACTCAATTAGCACTTCCTGAGTATGTTTCTTGGAGTATTGGCCCTATAAGAAATTTATATAAAAAGTGGTTCTGTTGTCAAGTGTGATTGGGAAACTGCAATTCCCCTTGGGAAAGTCACAGGGCTTATTAAATCCTCTGAGAAGGCCAGCAGGAAAGAACCTCTGTATTTAATGTTTACTTAATGCTTATTTAATCCAGCATCTCTTAATCCTCTCTGGTTTCACATGACAATGGCCATTAACTAATCCCACACGTGGTTTAAAAAAAAATTGGCTAACTATTTTCTAAGGACCCTTCCTCACATTCTATAAGTCTAGGAAAGAATAATGTAATTTGACTCTAAATTGGCCAACAGAGAATCGAAGGTGAAATCACAATTTTGAATTTTTGAGATTTGTCAGAAAAGTTGAAAGGGTTTTCAGATATACAAATTCATCAGTTTCTAGGGCACGGTTAGCTTCCTGAAGTGGACAGTTGGGGGCGCTATGGGACTGCAGTATTGGACACTCCTCCACCAACTTGGAAGAAAGGGAAAACCCAAGTTGTAGCCAACCAGAGGAACTTGAGCAAATTCCTTTTCCAGCTGAATGGAAAGCTACTGAGCACAAACTGCTTTGCTTTTTGGACTTCTATCTCCTTTGGAGAACAAAAAAAAAGATAGAATCAGAAAACATCTTTTGCTCTTTTTCTTTAGAGACAGAAAAATCACGAACAAAGCTACTTTTCCCAGGCATTGTGGTACATGCCTACAATCCTAGCACCTGGGAGGCTGAGGCAGGAGAATTTCAAGTTTGAATCTAGCCTGGGCTATATAGTGAGACCCTGTCTCAAAAAAACCAAAAAATCTTTTCAACTGTTTGCCAATGACTGGTGCTTATTTTGGGAAAGTTACATGTGACAGTTGGAAGTTCTTGTTGAGCCTATGAGTTGAAGGGGAAAAAAATATACAAATGAGGAAAAGGACAAACTTCTTAAGTATCTAAATTCTTTTTAACTTCAAATTTTTCTTTGGACCTTGACTCTTCGATGATGTGGCAGGCTAGCAGAGGTCTGGGGACAGATTGGATGTACTAAATTTCACATCTTTGTCATGTGAAGTAGAATAAGGCAGGCTGCCTTCCCTACCCAAGTCAAACACAAGGGACTTATAGGATAACTTGTTCCGAGGTGATATTGTCAGGTTGAGACTTGTCAGAAAAGTTTAAAAGGATTTCAAAATAACCTTTTTATTTTATTTTATTTTATTCCTCTCTATATTCCCCCTTGTCATAACAAGAGGCTTGTCATAACTTGGTTCTGTCACCAGTACTGCCCCTACATAGAGCCCCCACTTAGGAAAGAAGATTTAATACACACTTGTAAAATCTTTTTCTCAATAGAAAATGTAAACAAGGTTCAGAAGGACAGCCCAAGAAGGACAGACACCAAGAGAGGCTGGAGACATCTCTTTCTGTCTATAGAAATTCTGTGCATGGCTGGTTCAGAGAAACTTTGAACCTGGACAATCTTCAGCATTCATCTAAATTTATCCTTTCATTGCATATACAAGGGGACCAGGGTCTCCAAGTAAGGCAGCAGGTATCAGTGGCTGAACTTTTAGCCACTTGTTCCCAAAGCAGTACCTCTCCATTGTCCCGGGATAGACCTAGTTCCAGTGCCCTAGGACATTTCAGGTGCTCATCTCTGTTGGTAGCAAGGACACAAGCAATGGCCATACCCCATGAGGATGCTACCACCACGCGGAGCATATTGTTTTTGACGATGCCATTCTTGTCCCAATGATAACCCTGGAGAAAATGAAGTATGAGGAGGATGAGGGATTTATTGGACCAATAAACAAAGCCCGGTTTTTCTGTCTGCTTCCTAATCAGTCTCTACCACTCACCTCTCTTAAGTAACGCTAGGAAGGGCTTGGAAGCTTCAAACGAAGCAGTTTAAACTCTTGGAAAGTTTCTAGTGCTTTAGAATTCCAGGAAGTGTTGAATCATAGAGTCACTGAGTAGGAAAAAGATAAAATGAATATTTGTTGAACACTTCCCATATAATTGGATATATTTTACTTCAACTTTATGGTCACTCTAAGTGGAAGAAATACTGTGATTTCCTTTTTTGTAGAGATGGAAACTAAAGACCAAAGTAGATAGGAAATTAGCCAAAGTCTGTGAACTAGTAAGCTAGGATTAGAACTCAGGACTATGTTGATGAAGAAATCACTGCTGAAAACCATGACATCTACTTTTTGTCCTCACTTCCTGTTTCCTATTGGAGGAAGCTCAATCTATGTAAGATTTTTGTTTCTCTCATTCTTCCTTTAAATTCTCATTTGATGGCAACATTCTATAACTGCTTTTGTGACTGTCTTTCAGAGCTATTGGAGAGAGCAAGTTCTTCCTAGCATCTAACTTAAGTCCTCTCTGCTGCACTGGAAGCCACTGGCCCTGCCCTCAGGGACACATGGAAAATGGCTGCAACACTCCCAGCAGCAGCAGCCTCCTGGTTCTGGTTCCAAACTGCTTCTGTTAAAAGAATTGCCAATTCAAAACACATGCGCTGTTTTCAAGCTTGGCCTCACCCCAGATGCTTAACTGTTCTGTAAGCCCCTTTCAGGGTGAGCCTGAATATCACTCAGAATCAGGCCCCATGATCTAGGTTGCAATCAAGATGGCTCAAGGCTTGTCTTCCACTCCCACTCCTGAGCCAAGCCCTGGTCAGATCCTCTTTTTTTCAAAGCAGATTATAGACCTGACATTCTATGTAAACAAATAATATTCCCACTTGAGCTCTGTCAGGCATGAGAAAACAAAATTTCTTACATGGGGATTTAGGCATTTTCTATGATTCTTTCCTATTAGAAAAATCTCGTCCTTTGCAAACATGTACATATACACTATGGTAAAGAAACACACTGCAAAACAGTCCAATGATTTGCATTTAAGGACAAGTGAAAAAGGCCAGGTGTGGTGGTACATTGTCATCAGAACACCCAGGAAGCTGAGGCAGGAGGATTGCAAGTTTAAGGCTAACCTAGGCTAAAGAGAGAGCCTGTCTAAAAAAACAATGAAAAAAGAGGGGAGAGGTAACAAGAGGCTGAATAAAAGAGCAGGGCCTGGGTGATAACGGCTTATCAAGATCTTACATTTTGCTAATCTTTGGGCTCATCAGGTACCAAGAGAAGGCAGGGCTATGCCCTGAAACCCATCAGTCACAACCACTGGCTAGCACTCTGAAGCCTTGTCACTGGCACTCCTGAAATACAATTTAGTTGTTCACCTTGGTGATGGACTTTAAACAGGTGCCAGTTGGGGACCAGGTTAAAATGGAAAATGTGGATTCGGATACATGTCTCTACAGAGTGAAGAAAGAGGAGGTGGGTGGGCGGACCCCATGACAGACCACAGGCTCTAAGTGGCTTTTGGCTGGCTTCTCTGAACCCTGGGAGGAGCCAGGATGCCAACCACTGGAGGGTTACTTCATGTTTTCCTAAACTCTTCTCCATACACTATTTCCCTGGAAACAATAAGACAGTGACAAAAGGTTGCTCTGGTTTGTTTTTCTAATGAGGAAAATGGGACCCAGAATACTCTGTGATATTTAGTAGGATAAGATGAAGTCTTAGAATCTATCTTTTCACAGGGGTGCCAGGTGATTCTCATGTTCAAACACTAAGTTCAGGGTGACGGGTAACATGAGAGGGGCACGGGTAACATGACAGGGGCACACCTACAGTGGCAGATGAATCATGAGATCATGAACTCCATAATGACTTTCACATATGTTTGTCGTCGTCACCGCTGTAGTTCTGTACTTGGAACACTGTAGGTGTTCAATATATATATTTGATAAAAGAATGAAGACAACTCTTAGATAGCCAAACTTCTTGGACTCTACTTCCTGTAGTGTCATGGTATAATACTAAAAAGGCTCACATTTACATGCTTATTGAGTATTACTTATTACATGAGTGCTTGGCTTAGCACTCATAAGGCGGGGGACAGGTACAATTAACACCTTTATTTTGGTAAAAGTGTCCAAGGACTACTGTGTGAATGATCCCTTAATGAATTTTGCAATAGATGAATTTGTGCAGATGGCAATGGGTGACCACAGAACATTATGGGATGGTGGCAATATAAGGACATAGCACCATCATGTTAGCAGCCTCAGAGTGTTTGTCTGTTCAGCAGAAAAACCCATGTCCTCTCTCCAAAGGGCCTGTTTTACTATGATATAAAAATCAGCACATGGACATTTCCATGTTAGATTTTTTCTTGAAAATCAGCAACTCCCTTTTGCAGATACAGAAATCGAGGTTGAATGACTTGCCCCAGGTCACCACACATCACAAGTGTTAGAAACTTGATAATTATACTCTCTTGATTCTGACACAGGGATTGCCAGTAGATTTACCATAGCTCAGATCATTCCCTGGGAAGCAGTGAAAGATCCACTGGATGACAGTTAACCTAACCCACAGATGTGAGTCCTGTCACTGGACACCAATGTTATAGAAAAGTTCCACTCTGCTTCATAGATGATTTGCTCATATTGAAATGCCAAGCTAGCGTGGTGGAGAGGAATATATATTGACCTTGAATGTTTACTTTCCTCTTGAGCACACATCTGTTTTTGTTAGTGGGTTGAAGGCCATCAGTGGGCTCTGGGAGCAGACGTTCCTGATGGTGGAATTCTCTCCCGCCTGTGAGGTTTCATCTTCCCTCAGGCTGCAGAGCAATTCAGTTGGCCATTTATACAGGGCCCTGCCAAGACCACAGGCTTCTGAGCTCTTCTGTTCCCTCAAAAGAGGCCCTGTTTCTTCACAGCTGAAGTTGAACCTTAAGGAGACATGAAACTTTCTAGTTGGATATCTATATAACAAAAGGACTCCAAGTAGTCTTGGAAGAGTAAGACAGCTCTAAAATCCCCTCTCTGGTCCAGTGACAAATTCAAAGCCCAAGGGCAGAGTCCTTACCTGATCTGCTTCCTCAGGGGCCCCATTTCTCTGCCCATTTTAACTTCCACTGCCCCAGCTCTGGGAGAATTTCCATTTCCTTTCTCTGTTGTAGACAACAGCACCTGCAGAGTGCACTGGTACAAGGTGCTTCACCATAAGTTTGGCATCAGCAGCCTTCATGTCATTTCTCACAAGTTCTTCCCTCATCTGTGATACAGACAAGCTGGCCCCTGCACCTCTTGGCTGCTGTGACACTGGGCAGGTAGGACAGTAATAGCCAGTCAGCGGGTTTCACAAGGACTTGGTGTTTTACTCAGCTCCTTGTCCTGAGAAGAGAATTGAAGACAAGTCTATATGCTCCTTGGGGATAAGCAACTGTGACTTATTCATTTTTTGACTTTGCCCACCATCCCAAGGATGAAAACTCAGCTGGACCTCTAACAATAGATAGAAGCAAAGCTTTTTCAAAGAGCAGTGTATGAAAATGTCATGGAAGTGGGAGGTGGGAATGCAGAGGGCCTTGGTAGGATGTTCACAAAGTGTGTTCATAGTCTGACTTAGTTATATTTTATCCCAATAAGAATGTTGTGCTGGAAAAAAAAATTTGATATTTTTCCAGTGCTGGGGGTTGAACCCAGGGCCTTGCAATGTTAGGCAAGCACTCTACTGCTGAGCTAATCTCAGCCCCACCCTTTTTTTTATTACAAAAGAAATATGATTACTCATGTTCAGTATTTCCATATCTTATCTTAGACCCTTAGTATTTATATCACACTTCTAATAGTTAAAACTGTCTGCTCATGTCTTTGGGAGAAGCCTTTATTTTGGCAGTACTGGGGTTAAAACTCAGGGCCTTACGTTTGCTAGGCAGGCACTCTACCACTTGAGCCACACTTCCAGCCCAAAGGAAGAAGCATTCTGGAATATACTTAACCTCCAGCTCCCTCAGTCTCTTCCCCTCCCCTCCTCATGTCCCCCATGCCACACTTAAACTTCCCCAAGTTACAACCATGCCAAGTGCAGGGAGCTAGAGATCTGCTTCTCATCTTCCTATGGTGCTGACAGGTGATATCAGGCAAGTAACAGAAGGCTAAAGATTTGAGCAGGAAGGGGACCAGTGTCCCTGAAGTCGATAGACTTTAGTAAGGTATACCTAAGTGTCAGAACCAGACACTGCCTCAAGGCTCTGAGAAACAAGTGAAGTTTCCCCTGTGTATAGTTTTCTCTTGTCTAGATGGGTCCCCCACCTTCACACCACCCATGCTGGGCTCCAGGTTTCCCACCATCTGAGGGAGGGAAAGGAAACTGGGTATTGAGCTTCCTGCCAATTTTGTCCTATGGGACACTCAAGTTGGATTACATCGAATATAGAAAAATAAAGTAATATTCATCATATACACTCTGAGTATTGTGTAAGAATTCTGAACTGTTACCAACTTCAATTTGCAAAGAAATTAAAATTTAATGAAAAACATTTCCCGGTGGATTAGCAAAGATGTTTTTAAAGGCTTACACTCAATGTTTATGAGTGAGGATGTAGTGACTTGGTCAGGTTTGCACATTTTTATCATATAGATTATGTGTAATACATAATATATATCTATATGTCTACATATAATGAATGGGTACAAGCATGAGTGTGTGTGTGTGTGTGTGTGTGATATTGATGCAATCTTTTTAACACTTAATTGGGTGAGTACTAAGAGGCTTAAATTTTGATTTGGTAATTCTTCCACCAGTCTATTGTTATACTGCAAGTTTCCATTACGATGTAATAATGAGAAACTTGGATAAAAATGTACACAGATGTTTATAGGAGTGTTATTTATAGTTGTAACAAATGCAATGTCACACATTTGGTGACAATGTGATTCTAATAATGTGAAAATTATTAAGTGAATGATAGTACATCCATAAGATTTAACATTGAGGTAGTCACTAGGGCTCTTCAAAACATCACGGCTCCCTCACAGAGTATATCAGAGATAAACATGCTTATAAGTCAGTTCTTACTGCATAATAACCCCCAACACTCAAACACTCTGAAAGTCTCTGGATTGCCAGCATGGTTCTTGTGGTCTGGGCTGGCTCAGCTGGAGCAGGGTGCTTGAGGATGGCCTTATGTATCTGAGACAGCTCTGCCTCTCTGTCCATGTAGTCTCTCATCCTCTAGGCCAATCTTGCTGTTCTAAAAGCCTTAAGAGAGAAGAGTGATGATGCACAAACATATGTCAAGCCTCTGCCTATGTTACATTTGCTAATGTCCCATTAGCCAAAGTAAGTCACATGACCCAGTTCAGTGTCAAGGGATGGAGAAACAGAGTCAATCTCTTCATTAAAGAATCTGTAAACTATTGTGGTCACTAAAACAATCACACCTGAGAAGGCAGCTGCTCCATCTGTCTCTTTTCTGGAAGAGTCAAGATGAGCAGAGGTTCCATCCATTCTGGATGGGATGTGTAGATCATTGTGTGAAGTCATGCAACCAAGTTGACAATTTTTTGTTATTGTTATAGAACCTAATTTATCTGAACAAATACAGAAAGTATGCAGGCGCTAAAATGATATTTTTAAAAATTATGACTTATGTGGGAAAGAATTCAATATATAATTGTATATAAATAGGTAGCCTATAATGTAGGTATGTACATGTATTTATTTATTTATTTATTAGTGTATAAAAATTATACAGAGGGGATTCATCATGACATTTATATGTGATTCCAATATATATCTGTTTTATAATCCTAAATTTGCCAAAACAAGCACTTAACACATATACTGAAAGGAACGTGGATTTCAGGTAATTTTTGTTTTCTTCTTTCTGTAGTTTTGGCAGTTCTGGGATTTGAACTCAGGGCCTCATGCTTCCTAGGTGTTCTACCACTTGAGCCACTCCACCAGCACTTTTTTGTGTTGGTTATTTTCGAGATAGGGTCTTGTGAACTATTTCCTTGTGGTTGGCTTTGAACCATGATCCTATTGATCTCTGCCTCCTGAATAGCTAGGATTACAGGCGTGAGTCCTCAGTGTCGTGTCTTATAATGAGTTTTTATCATCTCGGTACATTATATATATTTTTTCCAATTGCTCCCTGTCCCTTCCTATGAGTATTATTCATCCCCACCCGTGGTCACATGATTTGCTATGCCTCCTGTGGGGAGGTTTTGTGTTTCCACCTCACTGGACTTAGGCCGGGCCATGTGACATCTTTGACTGGTGAAATGTCCATAACTGTGGCATTTTCCATGTTGGAACAGAAAGTTGAAGATGTACCTCTAGTTTGGGTCAGTTGTCTTGTTCTTTCTAAGACATGTCCTGCACAGGGGGTTTCACTCACCTTGAGTCCTGGAATAAAATGGCAGAATAGGGCCAGGTCCTGGTGCAAAATTCTGGCCTTCACCTCCACATGGTTTGATAATGAAATAAGCCATTGTTGTTATTAGACACTGAGATTTTAAGAGTTTTATTAACATAGAAAAACTAAGAAAATTACTTTTTTACTTAAAAAAACCACACCTGAATATATGGTATTCACTGACTTCAGATTCTAAGATTAGATTCTAGATTAGAATCTGCCATCAGATTCTAAGGTTTTCCTGAAGTAAACAAGTTCACAGATGCAAGGGTTGTCCAAATTCTCTTAGAAAGTAGTAGTGTATTTTCCCCATTTTCTGGAGATGTACCAGAAATTGTCACTTTTTAGGATTTGAGGATGGGTAAGAATATTCCAGGGAAAAATTCAGCACTGGTCAGGAGTGTGGCAAGATTCTGAAGTCATGAACCACTATAGGGTCCTTATTTTGAATTGAATTAATTTGTTAAATCTGACCAGGGATATTCTTAACCCACATACAACGTGCTGATCAATTACATACAACGTGCCATTTATATGAAGAAAATGCAGCTAATTTTTCTATGAATTACCTAATCTTCCTTAGAAGCTTCATCTTGATGAATAATAAAGAAATTAAAACCTGTACAGTCTTCTATACCAGCTGGCCTGTTAGTGCATGGGTTTGCTTACTATATTGCTCTGGCATTGGGTAGCTTGAACTCAGATCTATGGGCTAGTCTCATGCTGCTCCCTGGATATTCACCATCTTTGAAGAAGTGATTTTTCCTGTCTACCTGGTCACTATTTACTCTAGTAGCACCTTCTGTGGCCATAACACTCTAGGTTTTCTATAAATTCCATCAGGGTCTAGCGGCTTCCTAGTTAACTTGCTTCATCTTAGTTCTTTGGAGTCACACATGTCTTTTTTTATTTATTTTTATTTTATTCATATGTGCATACAATGTTTGGGTCATTTCTCCCCCCTTCCCCTACCTCCTCCCTTACCCCCCTTACCACTGCTCCCTCCCTTACCCCCCCTTACCCCTCGCTATCCAGCAGAAACTATTTTGCCCTTATCTCTAATTTTGTTGAAGAGAGAGTATAAGCAATAATAGGAAGGAACAAGGGTTTTTGCTAGTTGAGATAAG